GAAAGGTGATTGAGAGAGTATAATTACTATTGTGGTAGCAGGCAGCTATAAATAGTAACAACAACAAAATATTAAAACAAGCAAAATCATGAGAGCAACTCTGAACAAAAGGTAATTATAGCACAAGGGATTTTAAAGCTCCAAGTTCTGACTTTTTTGCAGGGAGTTTGATACAAAGGGCATATTACAGCTGACAGAGAACAATGTGTACATCTGAAGAAAGATGACTTTAGATAATTGAAAAGTAGACTTTTAATCCCAGAGAGAGCAACACAGTTATACAAATTTCACCAAAATGAATAAGTAACATAGAGTGTAGCAGCCATTTAAGCAGAAAATTTCCTTTTGGTATAGTGCCTAGACTTTTGCACAGCAATATTGTTGAAAATGATCATAGATTCATTACAGATTCAGTGATTTCTTACTCTGGAAATCCATTAGCAATGATACTGGAATGCCAGACTTCTTTATCACATACATAAGCAAATATAGTGCTCAAGCTAACTTGAATCCATTAGAGATTCTGCAGGTTAAAATATAAATATAAAGTATGCAGGAAGATGTGTGTAGCCTATGTGCACGTACTACATCATTTTATATGAGGAACTTGAGCATCCATGGATTTTGAGATTTGCAGGAGTTCTGGAATCAAATCCTTGTGAATACAGAGGAACAACTGCGTATACCTTTTATGTACTCTGCTATTAGTAATTATCTTGTTTTCCCTTTGACTTACTATTTAACACACATACTGCTAATTTATTACCAAAATCTCTTCCGTAGGAGTAAATCTCATCTCAGTATTTACAAGCATATCGGGTATTAATTTTACCTTCTTAAGGACAGTCGTCCTCCTGCTTCTGCTTGTACTGGTGGTTTTCCAAGCTTGTTCTGTCTCTATTGCCTGGGTCATCCTCTTGCTTTGCTCCACTGTGGGATTCCTATGTTCAAGATTTGCCTCTCACAGGCCATAGATTAGTCATATTTCCAACATCAAGATGATAATAACATCAGTGACAAGAGAAACCAAGCCCCAAAGGAATAAAGGCCCTGTGTTTTTACCTACGGGATATTTAATCACATTTTGTGTTTTAAAATTTGAATTGGTCTCTCATGCCATTTCACTTAAAATAAATTTTCCTTTTAAATGTCTGTGAATGAGTATTTTCAGTTTTAACATATTACCTTTTAAGAAGGTAGCAAGGGCAATTGAAGATGTGTTAACTATATAGCACAGTTAAATCACACGGACAGTAGAGTGCTTTTTTGTTTTTAGAATTTTAGTTGCTTATATAAAAGTCTAAGTAAAATAGACTGTTTATAATATGCTCAAGTGGAACAATTTATATTTTATGATTTTGAAGATTAACAAGGTGAAATCCACAAAGTTCAGACATATACTTAACTCTCTGTAATTAGCCATCCCAAACAGAATCTCAGCCAAGATTTTTGCAATGTTAACTAGCTGATTCTAACATTTATATGAAAATGCAGAGGACAAAAACTGGCAAAGATGATCTTGAAAAAGAATAAAAGTCAAACTACCAGAAACCAAGACCTATTATAAGGCTATAGTAATCAAGACAGTGTGTTATCTGTGCACAGATAGACAGACTGATGGAGAAAACAAGAAGTTCAGCAACAAATCCACACATATAAGGTCACATGATTTATGACAAGGTGACCCTACAGTGCGGTGGATAAAGGTCTTTTTAATAAACAGTGCTGCTGTAACTGGATATCCACATGGTAAAAAAATGTGTCTTGACCATTTAGACATTTTTTTGGTATGGTGGCATACAAAAAAAATAAATTTCAGTGGATTTAAAATCTAAATGTGAGAGCAAAACAATAAAACTTAAAGAAAAACTCACAGAAGAACATCTTCAAGACTTTGGGGTAGGTAAAGATTTTTAAAAACAGTATAAGCTGAACTTTATTAAAATTAAGAACTTCTGTTTCTCAAAAGACACCATTAACAGAGATTAGAGCCAAGCCACATGCAGGAAAAAGATATTTAAAATACATGTATGAAAAGGAAACAAATCAATAAGACAAAGATAAACAACTAATAAAAATAGGCAAAAATATTTGAATAGGCACTTTACAAAAGATTATTCTAATTGTTAACAAGTATATAAGATGCCTAACATCATTAATCATTAGGGAAATTAAAATAATGATGAGGCTGGGCACAGTGGCTCACACCTGTAATCCCAGCACTTTGGGAGGCCAAGGCTGGCGGATCACGAGGTCCGCAGATCGAGACCATCCTGAACAACATGGTGAAATCCCATCTCCACTAAAAATACAAAGCTTAGCCGGGTGTGGTGGTGGGTGCCTGTAGTTCCAGCTACTCGAGAGGCTGAGGCAGGAGAATGGCTTGAACCTGGAAGGCAGAGGTTCTGGTGAAACAGTGAGACTCTCTTAAAAAAAGTCATAACCAGATTCTTCTATAAAACCACCAGAACGACTAAAATTTAAAAAGGTTGTTGGCTGGTGAAGATGTGGAGAAACTGGAATCTTTTTGCATTGCTGGTGGGAATGTAAAGTGGGTGCAGCCGCTACGGAAAACAGTATGGCAGTTACTCAAAAAATTAAACTTAGAATTACTGTATGATTGCTGGGCGTGGTAGCTCACTACTGTAATATCAGTACTTTGGGAGGCTGAGGCAGGTGGATTGCCTGACCAGCCTGGGCAACGTGGTGAAACTTTGTCTCTACTAAAAATACTAAAAAATTAGCTGGGCCTGGTGGCGCATGCCTGTAATCTTAGCTACATGGGAGGCTGAGATGGGAGGATCGCTCGAACTCAGGAGGCAGAGGTTGCAGTGAGCAGAGATCACATCGCTGAATTCCAGCTTGGACAACAGAGTGGGACTCCATCTCAACTAAAAAAAAAAAAGAGCTAAGATATTTGAGGACCAGAGTCATTAAACATTAGTGATTGCAGCTGTAGTTTACCAACCCTGAAGACTTTACTTGCTCTGTATCAGTTTCTCATATTGCATACATTCAAGAGTCTGCAGTGAAATTGCTAGATAAAATACAGGGAACTGGTTACATTTGAATTTCAGATAAACACTGATTTTTTTTTCTTGTATGAGTATGTCCCCGGCAATATTTATTATGATTATACAAATATTGCCAGGGACATATTCATACAAGAAAAAAAATCATTTGTAATAAATTTTGCCATAGACATATGAAAAAGCAATCTGAAATTCAAATTTAACTGTACTTCCTGGACCCACCACACTATTTCTCCTTCCTCAGAACCCCCAGTTACATTGAAGCACATGTATTCAGACTCTACCATCAACCATCCCTCCTTATTGAAGTTGTCTGTCATGCTTGTGGTTACTCCTGCCAAATCACTGATAATTCTAGCACTTGGTTCTTCTCTTTCTTCCTCTCAGTACTTATTTCCATTATCATTCCTTATGATTATGTTAGCTACATAGACTACAATTCAATATCCCTGCTTCTGATTTCCTTTATCTTCTCATTTCAAGCACTTCCTCCATTTCAATTCAAAAAGAAGCAGAAAAAAGATGAAGATTTTTTGCAATATTAAATAGGGTGGCCTGGCATGGTGGGTCACGCCTGTAATCTCAGCAATTTGGGAGGCCGAGGCAGGTGGATTGTCTGAGATCGGGAGTTCGAGACCAGCCTAACCAACATGGAGAAACCCCCGTCTCTACTAAAAATAAATAATTAGCCATGTGGGGTCCACACATCTGTAATCCCAGCTACTCGGGAGGCTGAGGTAGGAGAATCGCTTGAACCCAGGAGGTGGAGGTTGCGGTGAGTCAAGATCATGCCATTGCACTTCAGCCTTCAGCCTGGGCAACAAGAGCGAAAATTTGTATAAAAAAAAAAAAAAAAAAGAGAAAATAATAATAGGGTGGTTAGGGAAGCCACGTGAGAAGATAATACTTGAGCCAACATCCTGAAGGAGATGAGGGGCCCAACTTTGCTGACTCCGGAGAAACACAGTACAGGAAGAGGAAACTAATTGCAAACGCCTTGAGGCAGAAAACTTCCACGCTTATTTTAGAAAGTTTCTTGAGACCAGGGATTAAATCTTACACTTGGTGGTATTATTGATTGTGCTCAATAATACTTTACCTGCAGGAGTAATTCATATAATATGATGACTCATAGAAGAGCATGATAAATTCTTGATTAATAAATGATTAAGAGGCACCTTGGTGAAAGGTTATTAAGTATATTTGGAAATCATTTTCTGCCTGTAAGACCTTGCAATCAAATGACAGGATTGAGGGTTCTCAACAATACATAAAATAAAAGCATAAATTAAATAAGGAATTAATATTATGTATAAAGAGTAAATCGTATTTAGAGAGACACAATATGAAGAGAACTTCAAAAGTTGCATATAAGCTTCATATGCAGAATATTTTTCTGAGGCGTTCAGATTTTTCTCCACATTTTAATCAGAGGGCTTTAAAGTATTCTAGTCTTAGAATAGCATATTAACCTCTTGTCTTCTTTCCTACAGGCCACGTTTCTGTATTTTTTCCATGCTCTTGATTCTTGTTTCTAATTCAGTAAGAATATTGAGGAATAGAGGTAATGAAGGAGAGTGAAGATCAGACATTTTAAACCAATTTATTCAATGAAGATTTATTCGGCACCTGCCAACTGAGTGAAACCCCGAGATGTATACATTCTAGTGCCGAGGACAGAGTCCACACCTAGCAGATTATTTAGTAAATTTTTGTATAATTAATTGAGCGAATAAAAGAATGAATAAATGAAATGCATCGAGGAAGTGTCTTTTCTGAGGTATCTGGATTTGACGCCAACAGGGTCAGAATCACATTTTCAATTCTGCTTGATAATTTCTAGAATACAGGATGTGGACAAAGAGAAAATAAATAAAGCAGTGAACTTCAGAACTAGACGGCGTACACGCGGCGGCTGATTTTGTCTCCAAACGGCCCCCGTAGCCTTTCCGTCCCGCATCATTTACGCAGCTGCGACCGGTAGTGACGTCACGAGATCCGGAGCTCGCGGGAAATTTTGTCTCTGTGTGGCGGTGAGGAACGCGCGCTCGCGCGGGATTTTCAAGCGTAGGAACCTGGGAACTGGAGGTGCCATGAGCCTCTGGGTGGATAAGTATCGGCCCTGCTCTTTGGGACGGCTGGACTATCACAAGGAGCAGGCGGCCCAGCTGCGCAACCTGGTGAGTCCGCGGAGGCCGGGACCGTGGGAGAGGGGAGCCCCAGGCTGGGGGTTTCGCGCCCCTGAGGAGCAATGCTTCCCTCTCCCGCATTGGAAGGTGATAAGTAAGATGGAGAAAAATAAAACAGGGAAGGGGGAAAAGGTTTGGGGGACGGGCTTTTGCTTTTAAACCGGAAAAGCTCCACTGAGAAGTGGCATCTGAGCCAAGACTTGAAGGAAATGGAAAAGTCAGAAATACAGAAATCTGAGCAAAGAGTGGAACAGGTATCAGTATCAGCAGATACTGTTAGTGCCGTACCCAGTCCTCTTGCTTTTAAGTGCACGCAGACTGACTTCTGACTACTAACTTTGTACATCTGTACTTTACCTGAGGGCTTTTGTCTCTTTGACACCCATAAGCAGATTTGAAATGCCTGGAATTAATACTCTGTCTTTTCCCCCATCTACTTTCCTAAGAAGGCTTCAAGAAAGAACTAATCAGAGATAATTATATTGCAGCTTCCCCACCCCCTAGGTGGGTTAACACTGTGGTGGGTGTTTATGTTGGCTTTAAGAGTTTCCCTAGCAGTAGCAAAGAAAGATGCCTGTTGGTATTCAGCTTGGCAATGCCCTCTTACTGGCTGTCGGCCTTAGCCTGTTTTGCATCCCCGCTCTTCTATGAAGTTTTCCTTTGTCTCACAAATAACCTCCCAAAGAAACCAAATGCACTGAATTGTTATCACAGGGACTGTTTCTAATAGTCCGAACTAAGAAAGCCCTGAATCTCAGAGTTACAGAATCCTAATCTCATGGGTGATAGGGTCTATTCATCAGTCAGTCCTTTATTTTAAAAAGTTTTCTAGGAGATTCTGATAGCCAGGTTTGGGAGTTCCTGCTTTCTTAGCATTTAGTTTTGTATCTTGCATGTACTGTGTCATGTATATAAGTTATACAAAATTAGTGCCAGGTGAATAGTAAACATTTCAGAATATATCAAAAGATACACAATATTTTATGTATCTACCTATCAAACTCCAAGTTTTACACATATGTAACTTGGGTGTATCTACCCGTGAACTTGGAGTTTCATGGGTAGACACATAAAATACTTGATACTTAAAAAGTAGTTTGGTTCTACCTAGAGTAGTTCAGTTTGACTAGGGAGAAATGTCTTGTTCTTTTTTTTTCAGGTGCAGTGTGGTGACTTTCCTCATCTCCTAGTGTATGGACCATCAGGTGCTGGGAAAAAGACAAGAATTATGTGTATTCTACGTGAACTTTATGGTGTTGGAGTGGAAAAATTGAGAATTGAACATCAGACCATCACAGTAAGCATTTCACTTTGAGGCCCTGAAAGTAATTCATAGTAAGGACTTTCAGTCTTGGTCATGTATGCCCCCATAACCCAGATGCTTCTTAACATATGATTTAAATAAGAATTCCACAGGTAGTCTTGTGGCACAGGATTTGAGAGCTACTGATTTATGCATCTATTACAACCAGAGCAAAGCCATTTATGTTAGATAGGAAATAAGAGCAACAAGGGGGTTAGGGTAAAATGTAGAGGGTGAGATTAATTTCAGATTACCTAATAAGACAGTGTCTTAGCTGGAATTAGAACTCAGGTTTCCAAACTTTATTCTGAGAGCAGTAGTGGGGATGGAAAGAAAGAGTGATTTTGAGACAAAATATTAAACATGGTATCAAATGACTTGGTAAAGAATGGCAGCTGATTGACTGGGAAAGGAGGCCTGAAACTCTGGGATGCTGAGAGGCTTCCTGTGATCTTGCCCTTGCCGAGATGTCCAGCTTCATACCATGTACCACAGTTGTGCTCTTCCATTGTGGATGATGTTTAAGATCTAGCCGACACGTAGCCTTCCTTTTCCTACCGCATTAGAATTAACTTTTCTTCTACAACTTCTCGTTTATACTTTTAGTATTACTTACTTTGTTTTGCCTTGGTTGTTGTAGTTTATACATCTTCTACTTTGACAGGATTGTATTTGTTTTCACTGTATGTAGAGAACATGTATTCATTTTCATATCCATAGCCTCTGGTAGAATGTCTTTAATAATTAGTCATTGGAAAAAAATATATGCTGACTGGATGGTAGTGCTATTAACAGAATCTTCAGGAAGGTAACTGGGTTTTAGACTAATGTAGATTAGCATATATTTAGATAATTGAGTTTGAGATGCTGGTTGTATGTTTTGGTGGAAATTCTTATAAAATATATAGGGACAAGTTTAACAAAAATGGTGTGGGATCTGCCAGAAGAAACTATCTTAAAGAGGGACAATAAGTAGCCAATCAAATGGAATGTTTCAGCATGTTCCCAGACGGGAGGCTTAACGTTTTAAATTATCTTTTGCCTCAGGTGACACTAAATATCAATGTAATTCTAATTGAAATTCAAGTGGTTGTTATAATTCTATTAAATGATCTTAAAGTCCATCCATATGGAACAGTACATTTCTGAGACTAGCTAAAGTAATTATGAAAAAAGATTGGTGAAGTGGGGCTTGTGTTGCCATGTAATAAATTTTAGTGTATGACTAGTACATATAAAACAGTATTATATTGGCATGAAATTAGAGAATCAGACAAGTGAAACTGGAAAGAGAACTTAGAAATATGGTAGGGTTTCTATTTCAAATTAGTGGAAGAGGATGAGCCAGCAGTGTGTGTCATCATAGCTAGTTACCTATCCTGAGAGAACAAAATTGAGTCCCTATGACATAACAATTTATAAAGACAAATTCCAGATGAATTAAAGACTTAAATGTTAAAATGAAACACGAAATATCTTACAGTAAAATTTTTTAGACTATATGAATTGCTCACGGGTCAATAAAACTTCATTTTGGAAAGCGTGGAAACTAGAGACGACAAGAAGTAGGTACTTGGATATATATGAATTTGAAAAATTGCTATGACAGAAATTATGCATAAAATCAATAGAAAAATGAAATATTGTCACAAAATATTTTAAAGGAATGCAGAAATAAAAGATTTTTACAAATTGGGAACAAAAAGACAATCTGGTAGAAAACTGAATAATAGATTCTTCTGTAGCAGATAGTCACAGGAGAAAAATATAAATGGCAGTCAACACATATAAGGATGCTTGACCTTTGTGATAGTCAAGCAGTGTGAGTCTGTTATATACTCACCAAACTGAAAAATTGAAAGGCATGATCAAACCTACTCTAGATGGGGAATATTGGGGAAGAGTGTTGCCAGTGGGAAAGTGAATTGTTAGACTGTTTTGTGAAGCAGACTGGTCTATACATACACACATACACACACATATGCATTATATTAAAGTTAGAAAGCACATTCCCTTCAATCCAGGAAATCTTTATTGGGAATCTCTTACATAGAAATGAAAGCAGTATATGTAACATATACACAAAGATGTTAATTGTGGAGTTGAGTACAGAAAACAAAATGTCCATCAGTATGATTGGCTTTGGAACATCCACGCTATAGGTTGGTGTGTGACTATAACACTGTACCAGTTGTCTGAGAGGGATTTGCCAAGATATATTAAATAGGAAAAGCAAAACACAGAGACATGTGTATGATTTCCTTTTTTTAAAATTTTTATTTTGTACAGGAAACGTTGACACTCCATAAAATATATATTTGTGTATGTTTATTTTTGTGTTAGCATGGAAAAGGCTGAAAGGAAGACATCATTTCCAATGATCTGTGTATCAGATGGTATACAGAGTTGGTTTGAGGATTTCTGGAGATAAGGAAAAGAAGTAGTCACAATAAAACAGGACGTGTAATTTGACCCAATTTATATAAAAACGTGTTTATCTGCACATCGAGAAAAGAATGGGATTAACAAAATTAAAACATGAATGGTGGTTATTTCAAGTTTTACTTTGTATAATAAAAGGAAGCCAATGAAAATACAAAAGAGTGGGGAAATAGCCAATAGATAAATGTGAAAAATATCTTTTTCTTTGTCCACAGACTCCATCTAAAAAAAAAATTGAAATCAGCACCATTGCAAGTAACTACCACCTTGAAGTTAATCCTAGGTAAGTTACTACTATATAGAAATTTAGCATTTTTAGAAAAATTGTTTTTGGGTTTTCTTTTTTTTACAGATTGAAACCCTTTTTTGAAATAAATTGATATATGTGGAAGCACAGTTTATAAAGCAGATTAAAGTGGAGCTGCCCTGCTTGAAATGGGATTCCTAGGGCCCTTCCTGTTTTGCTTTCTCTGTCAAATAATTTCAACAATATGTTTACCTTTTCTAGCTCTAGGGAACTCATTGATGTACACATAGTACATTGTATTGTCGGTAAGTTTTTGTTAAATTATGTAGGCTCATTCATTACTTATGAGCAGTGTGTCTTAAAAAGTTTATAATGTTTGGAGTAAATATTTCAGAAATTGAGTTGCTAAATCTTAATTTGTCACTCTCTTTAGGTTTCTTGATAGAGGTATTCTAATAGTTCACCAACAAATATCTTTATTTTCTATCGTGATGATAAAATTAAGAACTTGTTGGAGAGGCATGGAAAACTCATGCAACAGGTGTTAAGTGGTGTAGAAATGATTCTGGGAGCTAAACTGGGTAAGCTGCAATGATCTGTGGGGCTGGATGAGTTCTTAAAGGGAACAGAATTGAGGATATTGTCAGGTAAACTCAACATGGGCAGTGGCACAGAGGCACGAGTGAACATCCATTTCAGGGAGAGGCAGGAGACTGAACGCAGCAGGAAGAATCATGTTGCAAGCTAATATGTATGTGGTTGGTTTTCAGTAGCAGGCACTGTGTGAAAAGCTTTACCTGGATTCTTATCTTTTAAACAACCCTAACAATAGGTATTATTATTTTCTCTAGGTATCACAAAGAAAACTAAGAGAAATAAGGTTGTTGGGAATGGGTTTGATCATAAAAACAGAGCGAGTGTTAATTCCATAAATAAATGGAGAATGTTGTGGATTCTTGGCTAGGAAAATGATCGTAAGAACAACACTATAGGTATATTGATCTACAATAATAGTAGTGACTTGGGAAAACTTAGTGGCTGTTTGAGAAGATAAAGTTGTCTGCTTTGACCTCATTTTCTCATTGTGAGTTCTGAAGCATGGATAGCTAGTTGGAGAATAAGCCAGTTGCTTTTGGGGTGATTGAAATTAACATTCATTCAGCCTAAATTGACCTCTGGTTTGAGAGGTCCTTGACTGAAGTGCCAAAGCAATAATATTGGTGTAAATGACAGATCAGTACCTATAAGTCACCAATTTACAGAGTTTTGACTTCTGTCTTAAACTCAGTTTGCTTGTCTCATCGCCTTACTGAGTCTGAATCGATTCCATTCTAGTGCTGGGAGCAGACTTCTCTTTGTTTGTTCTCTCTTAGACCTTTGCTATTTTGGGGATGTAGAAGAGGAATAGGGATTGAATTTCTTTTTCAAAAAATTATTTTTGTATTTTGAACAATTATAGATAATTGAGAAATAAGCTGTAATTAGGTATTCGTTTTCAATAGTGGGTTCGGAAACATCAAAGCATTTGCTAAACTGTGCCCTAATTATTAGTAGTTGCTCTTCTTATGTTAACAGTGTTTTCAGTGTTGTTAATCCAATTGGAATACTGTTAGTATTTTTGATGACCCTAAAACTTTTTACTTTTAAAGAGCTTATAATTAGAGTTAGGTGATATTCTTTTTGACCACTTACGAACTTCAACATTTTTCTTATAACAGTGTTAAGGGCATACTGTATACCATTATTTTTGTTTTGTGTAGTGATGCTGGAAATAGTGACCGAGTAGTAATTCAGGAGATGTTGAAAACAGTGGCACAATCACAGCAACTTGAAACACACTCTCAAAGGGATTTTAAAGGTATGTGATCCAAAGACTTTTTTTCATGCAGGTGCCAAGCATTAGTGCTCTTTTTTTTTTAAAGTTATGAAAGTGAACAAGAGAGAAGCCTGATCTCTGTGCTCATGGGAGTTTATAGTCTAATGGAATTGAATTTTATGTGAAAGAGGATTATTTGTGCCACCCATTTGATATTTTAGAACAGGATGAGTAAAAATGTGTGATTTAAAATCAGAAATTACATGATTTTAAAATAACTGTTCTTATGACCAGAGTCATTTGTTCATTATCAGATATGTAGATACAAAAGAAAATGGTATCAACTATATTCCCACCATCCAGAGACAGCTACTATTAACGGTTTAGACTTTACCTTCCAAGCATTTTTTCTGTATATGTGCATACATTCTTACTGGTGAGATTTTGTGATAAATTTGCCGTAATTTAATGCTTTTGATATATTTTGCCAAATTCTCTATCTGAAAGAGGGTATAGATTTATACTACCAATAGCAGTGTTTGGGAGTGCTCATTTCTCCATGACATCAACACTGACGATAATTCGTTTTAATCTTTGTCAGTTTCAGTGGAGAAGGTAGTGTTTTGTTCTTCTTCAGTGAGTGTGGTACATTTTTCTTTAGTTTATTTCTCATTTTTATTGTTTTGTGAATTCCCTGTACATCATCTCAGCTGATTTCTTTAGTCTGCATATTTCAAAATAAATTTACATTTATGATTTTTTGTTACTATATATGGATGGTTATATTTTCTGAATGTTTTATGTATATGTGGCAGTTACTCATATTTATATCTTAATTTTATATCTTGCTATGTTAATCTGTTTGTAATTGTCTTGATAGTTTTCTTTGAGCTTATTTTTTAGACGTATATTCATATAATTTGTAAATAGAGATAATTTTTTCTTTTTCTTTCCAATTTTTATGGCTCTAAATACTTTTTGGTTTTTTTTTGAGACAGAATCTTGCACTGTTGCCTAGGCTGTAGTGCAGTGGCATGATCTTGGGTCACTGCAATCCCTGCCTCCTGGGTTCAAGCAACTCTCCTGCCTCAGCCTCTTGAGTAGCTGGGACTACAGGTGTGCGCCACCACATGCAGCTAATTTTTTTGTATTTTTAGTAGAGACAGGGTTTCACCATGTTGGCCAGGATGGTCTCGATCTCCTGACCTTGTGATCCGCCCGCCTCGGCCTCCCAAGGTGCTGGGATTATGGGTGTGAACCACTGCACCGACCCAATACTTTTTCTTATCTAATTATGTTGGCCAATCCTCCAATAGGGCGCTTAATAGTAATGGAGATAGCAGATGTCCATGTCATGGCTCTAGAAGGAAAGCCTTCGTGTTTCCCTATAATTAGTTGCATATTTGATCATGGCAAGAAAATATTCTCAAATTCCTATTTTATTGAGTGTCTTTAACATGAATGTGTGTTAAACGTTGTCTCATGCTTCTTTTTTATCCATGAATGCGCTTTTATGATTTTTCTTAGCTCATTCATATCATAGATTATATTACTGGTTTATCTAATACTGAAACTTTTGCTAGGCACCATAGCTTAGGCTAGTAATCCCAGTGCTTTGGGAGGCTGAAGCAGGAGGATTGCTTGAGCCCAGGAATTCAAGGTTGCAGTGAGCTGTGATGGCACTACTGAACTCCAGCTTGGGTGACAGAGCGAGACTCTCCGTCAGGTTTATTGGGATTCTTTCCTTTGTCTCTTTTTTATCTGTTCTCAATTTGGATTCTGTTTCTGGGATTTCTTCTCATTGTGGAGCATTATCTTAGTCTCAAACTCCTGTCCTCAAGCCATCCTCCTAGCTTGGCCACCCACAATGGCACAAGCACACCAGCCATGGCCTTGTGGAACGTTGTCTTAGAAGAGAGCTTCATTTTGTTATTCTCAGAGTCTACTGCTCTATCAAACCTTACTGCATCAGGGCTCCCTTGCTCTCATCCATCAATTGGGCTCTGTTGAGTTTCCCACCTCGGTAAGACTGCTGCTTTCTCTGAGACAGTGTTTTCACTGTGTTGCAACATGCTGGAATGCAGTGGTGCAATCCCAACTCACTGCAGCCTTGACTGCCTGGGCTCAAACAATCCTCCCACTTCAGCCTCCTGGGTAGCTGGGACTACAGGCACACACCACCATGCCTGGCAACCTTTTGCATTTTTATAAACATGGGGTTTTGCTATGTTGCCCAGGCTAGTGTTGAATTTTTGAGCTCAAGGGATCTGCCCTCCCCAGCCTCCCAAAATGCTGGGATTATAGGCAGATTACAGGCATGAGCCACTCTGCCTAGCCAACTGCTGCTTTCAAATTGGCCCCATGATGGTTTCTAGTATGTTCCTGTGGGCGATTTTGAGCTTTTCCTGTCCTAAAGGCTGTCAGAATTTCCTCCCACACCGTTGCTGATACTATGTGGGCCTTTCCAATTTTAGTTGCTTATTCTCACTTGCTTATGTTTGGGATTCTCAGGTAAAGCATGTTGCCTGGTTTCTATATAATGTTCATGGGTTCTTGGTCTTGGAATCTTTAGTTGTTCTGTTTATATTTATGGGACGGATCCAAATGTGACATGCCGCCAGTGCATCTTCTAGAAGTAATTTGTTAATATAATGAAAAATACAATATTGGATTCAGTTTCTGTCTATACATTATTCCTGAACTGTGTTAAGTCTGATCTGTGATTGTGGCCAAATGGAATCTTACTTTATGGTGGCCAGATATCTTTATGCCTTGTTGCCTACATCATCTCTTGCACCGCTGTTTTCCAAAGTCTGTTTCTTGGAATTTAATATTTTAGATTAAGATGTACCACAGAAATGTGCTGCTGAGAAAAGTTATTTTGGGAAAATGCAGCACAGCACATCCTTGTCTTGGTAAATTTTGGTGTATATAACTAAAAAGGCTGAAATGATTTCTACTACAAAGTGACCTTTTAACTTCATTTAGCCTAGTGTTTCTTGGTCTTGTGTGATTATAGATCCTTTTTTTTTTTTTTTTTTTTTTTTTTTT